TGCTAAGACATATGTTACAGTATGTACAATACAAACCACAGTTTTACTTCAATTCAATTTTATTTTATTTGTATAGCGCCAATTCTTAACTATTCAAGTTCAATGAGGCCAGAGTTTCTCTTTGCAGTCAGGGTATATATTTTTTCAATAAGAGATGTTCCCTCGGACAAAAGCTAATAATGCAATTGAGCATGAAATTACTTTAACCGGACTTCAAAAGCTGTGGTGCTTAAACCTTCCTCAACAAAGAACTGCACATATACACACACACACACACACACACACACACACACAGGCAGTAACAATATGAGAAGTCCAAGGCATAAGAAGTGTGAGAGGAGTTGAGTGAGATGCTATTACTGAGCTGACTTTAACGCAAAGTTCTACGTGTGCACGGTCCGACCCAATTAAATCTGACTGGTGCTGCCAAATTTCAGACCCCAACCTGACCCGAAACCTGAAACTATGTACAAATACGCCAATAAAGCCTTTGGGAAAAAATAACATCATAGAGTATTGCTTTTTTCTGACCTCCAGAGCCCAGATATGAAAGTGCCATTATTGGTCATCAGACTTGCAGTACATTATTTCTTTTAGTTGTCAAAGGGGAATTTCAGCCAGGAAACAAATATGGAGAGTCTGGTGGAACAAGAGGATTTAATGGGGACAAATTAGTGAAAATATATATATTTTTAAATAAAAATCGGGTGGTCAATCAGAAACCTCTGAAAACTCGACACAGATGATTAACATCCAATTTCTATCAGCAAAAGGAGATTGTTTTTCAGTTTACCACTGCTTTAATCCCACCCTGTAACCACACTACGCCCCGACAGCGGTCAAAAAACATTCACAGACAAATTTGAAGACTTGTTCCAGTTACATATGTGGTCAAATTTAAAATGAGAACTAATAATGCCAAGTTAGCAGGGAAGCACACAGACATGGATTTACAGTACGTCAGAATTAGCTCAGACTGACAGACCATGACTCTTCCAAACAGCCACTCAACACTTACAGCTCATCAGGCCAACTGATGAAGGAACACAAACCAAGAGCTGGAGAGGTTTTAGGACAGAGATAATGCAGCTTCCATTGTGAACAGATGTTAAAAACACTATCACCTTTAACATCAGTAATGTGTCTGTTGAGTAAACATAACATAAGAAAAAAAAAAGGAACTGTTCAACTGTGGAATGTAAAATCACAACAAAATAAATCTGTCGGTGTGTTTACTAATGCTGTTGGGTTTCATGCATGTTGGTGAAGGTAAATTGTCTGTAAATAAGTTACTGTTTACCAAGAATGGAAAAATTCACACACAAGAATAATTCAAGACTGTTTTTTTTAAGACAATTTCCCCAAGAAATGTCCCCCTCCAGTCAGAAATCAGTGTTTCTCTTCTTGTCCCTACAGTGTGATGTTTGATTGATGTCTGTGCAGAGTTTGACTCTAGAAGGATGTATTCACATTCATCTGCTGAAAGTGTAAAGTTTCTCTGTGCTCATTGAAAATCTGATTTTAAGGCACAACTATTTTGGAGGTCAATCCTGGTCAAGTATGTAACTTGTACAGTGTGATCCACCAGTGCACATCCACTGAGAATGGACTCAAACAGTGAAGTAGGAGACATCTTGTGTCCAGCAGGAAAACATTTGCATATTCATATAATGTGATAGAAGGAATAGATGTCTTTTTTAAGGATTTCAATGTAAAAATTTTACTTTTTTGTGGAAAAAATCAGAGACATTGTTGTTCCCAGCATTTTATATGTATATCAGTCGCTCCAGGATTTTGTGTTTTTTTTTTTTTGGATTGTCCGACCTAAAATGCCTAATTTCACGACAGCTTTTTAATATTGAGATGCAAAAATGAAAATTGCAAAAACACTTACTTTGATAATATTCAATTCAATTCAGTTTTATTTGTGTAGCGCCAATT